GTTCCTTCGGTTGTCATTGGTGCCATAGGGTACCATTTAACCTTTTTATCCTAGTTTTCGCTTCTGGTTATCTCCTTGAGTTCCGTGACCTCATGGAAGGTCATCTTAGTGTCTTAGAGACGTGTATTGCCTTGGGAGACCGTTGTTTTAGTTCTTGCTTCCACATTCGGATCCGTTATCGGGTTAATCTTCGATTCATCACTGACCCACCGGGTTGAATAAAAACCCGGGTCGTTACAATATTTTTGTAAATTAAAGAAATTATTTAAAAGTATATATAAATAATCTAAATTGAATACACTTGTATAAGTATATACATATATAATAAATTATAACAAAGAATGTAGTCTAGTACTACTTTATTATCTTTCAAAAGCACAATGTCACAGGACATATGAGTGTGTTCTTTATTAGGATAAATATACCTATTTTCTAAGCTGACCAGTATAATCTAGTCTAGTCTAAATGATTTTTATCTGACGAAAAATCTAGCCTAAGAAATTTTTATCTATTTAACGAAGTGAAAGAGCCTTGTATTGATCATACAAATGTATAGCTAAATAATCTAACAGATAATTATTCATAAATAGCATTGGAGAAAAATAGATTCTGGAATAGTGAAATTTCTTTCCTTTAGAGTGATCACATGACTAATTTCCTACTTAGCTAAAATAAGACCATCATCAACGACATGCTATTTTGAAAAAGTAATAAATTAAAGGCATCAATCAGCACACGTTCCGACACACACCTTCACATTCAGCACACACATGGCATCACAACACACGTGTCACAATAATTTTACTTTTTTTTTTTTTTGACACCTTTTACAAAAATATTCAGCAAACGCTTCCCACTCTTATTATTTACTTTTAAACCATAAGATTTACGTATCTGTTTTTACTGATACAGATTATCGAGAATTAAAAAAAAAAAAAATACACTTGATAAAAAAATTATTATCAATAGACAAAAGAATTGATGGAGCAAAATTTTTGACATTTTTATTCAATGGAATTATAAATGACCATAATGATCAAAAAAATCTATTGAAATACAAGAAATCATTAAAAAAAGTTCCTATAATGACGAAAACAAAATTTTCATAATTTTTTTTTTTTTTTTCAAATTCATATTTAACCTATATACCATTTGATAGGGAAAATATTTCCATTAGATAAGACTGATGATATTTCACTATCAAGGATAACGAAATATGACGTAGTTCAACAGTGTAAGGATAACCTTGGCACAATTTGAGGAAGTTAAAGGAGTAAATCATATCCCCGACATATCTGGCAACAAACGGATCTCCTCTTATCTCGCACAAGCGGATGATAAGGGAGACCTAAACCATCGACATCGGCGGAACCAATTTGATTCCAATCGACAACCATAAATAGGGCACCAAGCCATTAAAGAAGGTAAGTGAAAAAACCCCTAAACATGATATACATAATTATTATGTAATACAATTACAAGTACTAACTTAATCGTCGGAGGGTCCTTGGCTAGCACCCCACCGGTGCCATTCGAGGTGACGTCCCTTTATTTTGCAGGTAAACGCCGTCGTTCCGAGTCGCGAGGATTTTCGCATCAACAGCTGGCGCCATCTGTGGGAACCGATTAGTTCTCTGAAGAAATAATAATCCTGACGCGACTTGGCTCGGACGACAAGATGAAAGTTTCCGATTATGGAAACCATCCTAAAGTCATCAGTTGACAACAGGTTTCCATGTTCTTATATAAGGATGTGTCTCTACATCATGATTACTCGTCCATTATACTGGGGGCAGAACAGTGGGTTGCGTGATGTCATCCAGTGTACGATGACAATAATCAAAATTTAGTATGTCGACCCAGGCAGTCCAATGTGGTGTTTTCCATCTAGCGATGCTTGGTCCCCTCACTACTGAGGTTTGGTCCTCTAAGACCAGACTCTATCTCATATCGGGCAGCAGCCAATTACCAACGCCTGATCGTTGAAGACTAAGACATAGTCCTCCTACACCTACATAAGTGGGTAGGTCTTCACCCATCAAGAAGATCACTACCAACAAGGGGGTCTCTACCTACTAGTAAAGCCTCTACTACTGAGGATGTCTCTAGCAACGAAGTCTCATTACTTCATCCGTTTTGCAATTAGGGTGGCCTTCTACATCCAAGGATGTATCAAGGCATTCAGGACCAAGGAGGTCCAATGTCCCTCAAGATCCCATGTCTAATGAGGTCTGTATTCCCAAGGAGGTTCTTAAGTTAAGGGTGATCATTGGCAACGAGGTATTGGCCACCAGACCGTCATCTGTCAGCCGTTAGATACCACGCCCCTATCTATCAGGCATCAAGCCAGTCGCTGGACACTAAGCCTCCACCTACCAGACGACAATCGTCACCTCTCTTCCCTTGCAGGAATTGCCTATCGACTTCAGATTATGTAGAATTTTGGATTGATAATCCATTACAGGTTAATTTTCAATAATTTTTTCTAACACAATCTAATGTTTTTAGACAACTGTAAATTGTTGCAGCACCAGGCACTCTGTCCGCTGTATAAACGTCTATAGAATGGGTCATCACCCAAGATCCCACCATCAGGGGCAGAATAATGGATCACACGATATCAATCGTCGATCTACATATGATGACAAGGTTTAGAAGATTGACGTACCAACCTTGGTACATCGAGCTAATCGGGTTTCTAGTCTTTCTCCTTTAGCGACCCTTCGGGGACACTAGTCCTCCAAGATCGGTGCCCGATCCTCCGAAACCATAACCTGGTAAATCTCTACACATCGGGAAGGGTACAACCCTTGGTTATCATAAATCAAGGCTTGGTTATCTGAAACCAAGGCCTAGTCAATTAAGATTAAGAATCGATTGCCCAAAGTCTACAAAGGCTTGGTCATCCAAGATCAGTGCCCAGTCACCCTAAGTCTGGTCATCAGAGACCAAGACCAGGGCCTAACTGACAAAAGTATGGTCATCAGAGATCAGGACTTAACCTACAAAGGTCAGGTCAAAAAACGTTCCTCCCCCTCATGTGTTATACCTATGTGGTAATTAATTCCCTTACTAAAGGGACGAGCTGAGTGAAACTCGTAAAACATAATTCCCTTAGTAAAGGGACGAACTGAGTGAAACTCGTAAAATTTATTCCCTTACTAAAGGGACGGGTTGACTGAATCCCGTAATCAATATCCCCGTATTATAAGGGATAGTAAATAAATGTCTTGTACTAAAAGGACTCGGGCTGAATGAATCCCGTAATCACTATCCCCGTACTATAAGGGATAGTAAATAAATGTCATGTACTAAAAGGATCCGGGCTGAATGAATCCCGTAATCAATATTCTCGTACTATAAGGGATAGTAAATAAATATCATGTACTCAAGGGAATAATACCCACGTGAATATTACCTAAGGGAAGATTACCCACGGTAACATTACCGAAGGGAAGAGTACCCAAGGATACCAAAAATAGTACCCAGGCGCAGAGTACCCAAGGGTACTAAAAATAGTACCCAACCCAGGGGCAGAGTACCTAAGGGTACCAAAAATAGTACTCAGGGACAGAATACCCAAGGGTATTAAAAATAGTATCTAACCCAAGGGCAGAGTACCCAAGGGTACCAAAAATAGTACCCAGGGGAAGATCCAAGGATACCAAAAATAATATCCAAGGGAAGAGTATTCAAGGGTACTAAAAATAGTACCTAAGGAAAGATTACTCGAGGGACGATTACCCAAGGGAAGAGTACCCATGAGTAGGAAAAAAAAAAAAAAATGTTATTGTTTATGTGAACAATACCCGCGGGTACTGTTCCCAGGGCAAGAGGAAAAAAATAATAATACTGTTCATGTGAACAGTACCTGCGGGAATAGTACCCCCGGGTACTGTTCCCAGGGCAAGAGAAAAAAGGGAAAAAAAGTTACTGTTCATGTGAATAGTACCCGCTGGTACTGTTCCCGAGGGCACAGTGCCGTGGCAAAAAAAAAAAAAAAATCACATTCCCAAAGCTAGACGAGCAAGCTTGGTAATAGGAGGCAACTGATAGGGAAAATATTTCCATTGGATAAGACTGATAATATTTCATTATCAAGGATAATGAAATATGACGTGATTCAACAGGGTAAGGATAACTTTGGCACAATTTGAGGAAGTTAAAGGAGTAAATCATATCCCTGACAAATCTGGCAACAAACGGATCTCCTCTTATCTCGCACAAGCGGATGATAAGGGAGACCTCAACCATCAACATCGGCGGAACCAATTTGATTCAAATCGACAGCCATAAATAGGGCACCAAGCATTAAAGAAGGTACGCGAAAAAACTCCTAAACATGATATACATAATTATTATGTGATACGATTACAAGTACTAACTTAAACGTCGGAGGGTCCTTAGCTGGCACCCCACCGGTGCCATTCGATATGATGTCCTTTTATTTTTGCAGGTAAACGCCGTCGTTCCGAGTCGCGAGAATTTTCGCATCAACATCATCAAAATTTAAAATTTTGTTTTACTAAATTAGCTCAAATAAACATTAATAACAAATAAAAAGTCAGATATCACTGTTTTAGAGAAGTTGGTACCAATAGCTTCTGCAAAGGTTCTTCCAAAATCTAAAATGTTGGGTAAAAAAAAAAAAATTTTACCAAAGCTCTTTGAAAAAAGTTAACCAAACAATAGCTTTCAAGTCCCAAAACGAAAACCAAAATCAGCGTTTTAAAGCCCATCCAAACAGGCCAAACAGGCACTTCAAATCTCGTCTCTTAGCAAACAACATATATGTTTGGTAATGTTTGAGAAGTTTTTGAAAGGCTCTAGAATGACTTTTAAGCCTTGCAAGTCCTTTTCCAAAAATACAAGTACGTTTCACTTAGAAGAAAGCTTTGTATCTTTATAATTTGTCAGTTTCTTGTCCATCTTATCCAACATAGAAATTGTAGCAACCTCTAAATAAGCACTTTCCAACAATCCACGTCGACAAAGTGGCTGAAACATTTTCTTCATTAATTTACATATAAGATGCATACAAAACGTACCATAAAATACATACTGGGCAGACATAGATATATATACATATATACATATATATATATATATATACACACACATATTCATAAGTAGTAAGTGGCAGATAAGATGCATTAGTACTACTACCATATTATACAAAGCACACAGTAACAGTTCAACCCAATAACTTCAACTACTTGAACCTCTCTCTAGTCTCTGGTAGTATGAAACCTCCATGCGAAAAGGTAGTCCTTGGACTCGCAGGACAACCTCACCACATCGGTGAACGCAATCACCGTCCTCTTCTTCTCATCGCTACCCCATTCGATCATTACTTGGCAACAAAACCCGCTAGCCGTGACCGGAACACCCGAACCCGAGAACCGGAGCGTCACCTCCCCACCAATCCTCTTGCATGCATCGCCCGACCCGTCACACGAGCCGAGCCACAAACACTTGGGCTGACCCACCATCTCCTTGTAGGCCGAATTGGTCATCCTGACATTGTTGTTGGAGTCCGAGACGACAGCTGGGAGGGCCTCGGACTCGACATCCTCCTCCACCTCCTCTCTCTTCTTCGTCGGAGGCCGGATGGCGTGGATCGGATTCGGATTCGGGTCCTCACAGATGGACCCGACTCTTATGCTCGATTCGACCGGTCGGACCGGTTGTGGAGCTATGACATTGGAGGAGGTAGTGGGTCCCCCTATTTGCCACAAGAAATCTCTCTCTTGTGGAATTTCAGCCTCTTGGTTCAAATCAACACCATTAACTCCTGTCTCACCATCAAAAAGACATGGAATAAATGGAAGAAGAGGGAGTGTGATCAAGTTTGGCTGGGGTCGGACTTGCGTTCCCGTTTTGGAACGGTTTCGGACTCGGGCTTGGGCTTTGGCGTGGTATTCTGGGGTGAAGGGAGTAAAGGCGGGAAGGGTTGGGAGTGGGTGCTTAGGAGGACCACCGAGACCGAGACCGAGCCCGAGCCGGAGCCCATGAGAGGAGCCTAGTAAGGACATGTTGTTGAGAGAGGAGGAAGTGTTGAGCCCATGAGAGGAGCCTGGTAAAGAGAGGCTGTTGAGAGACGAGGAAGTGTTGAGCTCATGAGAGGAGCCTAGAAAAGACATGTTTTTGAGAGAGGACGAAGTGTTGAGCCCATGAGAGGAGCTCAGTAAAGATAGATTGTTGAAAGAGGTGTTGAAAGAGGAGGAAGTGTTAGGGTTGTTGAGACTGCAAGGTGTTGGTGGTGGTGGTGGTGGTGGAGGAATAGGAGCGAGAGGAAGGAGACGACGAGTGGTTGTGGTGTTGGTTCTTGGTTTCTTGATGGTGGTTGATGCAAGTGAAGACCTCCCTCTCTTCCGGGTCCTGGTGGGCCTGGTCTGCAAATGAGACCAGACGTTGCTGAGATAAGGAGGCTGCCTAAAGTTGATCTGATGATGAGAGAGAGATGGGTTCTCACACACTTGATTCACAGGAAACTCGGGCTTTGGAGCTATGGGCCTGAATCTGGACATGATCTCAGCTGTTTTTGTTGCGTTAGAACAATGATGATGATTCATAGTCTGCATCATCTTGGGTTAGCAATGGGGGAGATGTTTAGAGAGAGAAAGTGAAAGTGAGGAGAGAGAAAGTGAGAGTGGTGTAGGGGGAGGCTTTGGGTTAGGAGAGGTGGGATTATAAGGAAGGGGTGACCAATAAGATATGGGCAACATGAAGAAAGGAATTAAGGAGAGAGTGACACTTGCTAGTGTTGGATGGTACGTGTTTGAGGGATTTTACCAGATGGGGACTTGTGGGTCCATGCATGCTTACACATATCACATATACCATCGGTTACACATGTGAATGTCTGTATGTATATATGTGTTTTTGTCTGTATCTTCAATCTTCATATATGCATCTGGGTATACAATTCGTATATATAGAGAGAGAAAGTGATGAATTTTGGGGCTGTATTGAAGAACGCACCAATGAGGCGGTGGAGGTTCATGCGATTGGACCGAGTGAGGGAGGCCTTTTTAGATGGTAACGCGTGTGGAGGACGGTTACATGCATGAGTACACCTATCAGGAATAGGGTTTGTTTGGGTACGTTATGTTTTGGGAACTAGTTTGACTGTACAGATTAGTCCCTGCTAGGTCATGTAAATTACTTGTTTGGGTAATGGGATCTGATTGGTGGTTATAGAAAAAGGAAGTGGCCGGAGTGGGGACACGTGGCACGTGTTTAAAGCGTGCCTGCTTTTTCCGACCTAATGTACGACGCTTTTTCTGGTCTATTCCCCCACAGTCAATCTCTTCATCCGTCATCTCAACATCACTTTGTCTACAGATTTAGAGAGAAGCAGTCGAAAAATGTATAAGATATGAATTTTATTGAATTTAACCTATCAACTGATTCGTGGTTTGGGACTATTAATAAAAAAACATCATATATTTACACTAACAGGTTTGGTAAGGCGTTTTGAAATTTGAATTACAATATATATATATTTTTTATACCAATTTTACCATACCTCTTTTAATTTTAAAACTTTGATTTAGTGCTTGTCAACTAGCTTCAACCATTGTAATTAGATGCAATATTAATGTAAATGTATTACAACAACATATTAACGATTCTAGACAAGTCGAGTCCAATACTATCTTAATCAATTTTTCTACTAAGCGAGTTTAAAAATTGAGTTCGAATTCAACTCGTTTATTTAACGAATGAGTCCAAATCGAATCTTAAATGAGACGGATAAAAAAATGCGTTTATAAATATGTTTTTTTATGTAAAAAGGTTAAAAATATTAGCACAAAAATATGAAAAAATATGAATATGTTCGAGTATACTACTTTTTTCTGTTTAAGATTTGTCATTACAAATTTGAGCACGCATAATGTATTTTTTTTTATTTTTATGTCTTGCATATTTCCATTTCAATAATATAAAAATAAAAATGATAAGAAAATATGAAGTGTTGTAGAGAAATTGAGAATTTTAAAAAGATTGAAGAGTTTGTATAAATTAGTAGATTGAAGAGGATTGTAGAGGAGTAAAGAGTTTATAAATATGCAAGTGGAGAGTTCTAATAACTAAATTTTAACTATTGATTATAATACTTTGGAAGAATAATGTCTATATATAGGATTCATGAAATGTTTTGTTTATGTGAAACATGAAACAAACGGTGTCATACTGACATAGACACGTCGTGAAGTATTGACGTCACCAAATATATGGAGAACGGTGATTCGATTGTTTTTACCGGAAGAGTGTATTTAAGAAACTAGATTCCTGACGTAGCAGAATTCTGGAGTTTCTTCACCACGATTGGTTGAAGTACTGACACTACCATTTGAATATTAAATGAGAGAAAATAATATTTTTATCTGGCAAGGTAGAGAAGAAACTTGATTACTGACACAGAATCTTGAAATCGACCCCACCACGAATGAGTGAATCAAGACTTGCATCTCTATTGGTACTCAAACTTGTCACGTCAGCTCTATTACTCGTAAATCAAAACTTGCCGCCAGCTCTATTACTCGTAAATCAAAACTTGCCGCCCTACCTCTGCTCAAACTTGTGACTCTATTGGTCAACACCATTACCTTTGGTGCTCAGCACATTGCGATTTTATTGGTTAGAACGGTAAATCTAGTGAAGATAAAAATAAATTGTTTTTATGCGGTGAGTCTATTTTAACATTCTTTACGTGGCAGAACCCTAAAGTACACGCACTTTAACAACAGTAAATCAAGACTTGCACATACACGTGTGTGTATATATATATATATATATATATATATATATATTATAAGAAACATGGATAATGTACATCTCAAAATGATGGGAATTAAGATTATCTCAAAAATAATACTCCTATATAATAATTTTTTTCTTTATTTTATTCCTATAAACGTAAATAAAATAATTAATGTGAAGGTTAGAGCTCGATTTTGTTATTATTATTATTATTATTTTTAGTTTATATTCATTTTTTAATTAATCCAACTATGTTCAATCAGAAAATAAAATTGGAACAAACGTATTGATACCGTCACGAAACCTCTAGAATAAGTGTAGGCGCTTCAGTGCGGACCTAGTATGCCTCCACTGGAATTTTTTTTATTTGTTTAGCTACCTATGTATTTTATTAAAATTTAAAAAATTTCCCCACTCAATTTTTTCAAATACTCCATTATATATACTCTTGTCCCACTGATTTTTTTTATTTTATTTAAACAGTACTAAAGTAATCCGCGGCTCTCACTCTCTGGTTAAGTAATTAGATTCCTATGATTATTATTATTATTATTATTTATTTAAAAGATACTAAAGTAATCCCCATCTCTCACTCTTTTGTTAAGTAATTAGGTTCTATGATTATTATTTTATTTTAAAATAATTATCTTGAAATTCTTTTTTTTTTTTCAATGGCACCCCCTCAATAGAAATTGTGGATCCGTGACCGGGTGCTGCCTTGTATGTAGTAGAAATATATTGTATTGCTTGGTTTAGTTTTCAGAAAATATAGTTTTATTTTCTAAAAATTGAAAAAAAAAAACTGTACGGAAAGCTGTTGAATAATCTACTTCTGATTCAAAAAAATAAAAAATGTTTTCTATAATTCATTAAAAAAAAAAGGACTTATTTCCATATAACTGCATTTTATAGTTCTCTGAACATAGTGTTGTGTTTCTTAGTTTTTAAGAACTATATTTTGATTTGGGGTGATAATTTGTGTTCTTGAGCCATAATCGTGTCGTGTCAACCTAAGAGCATTCTACTAAACAGGTCAATCCGAACACTACCTGTTTAATAACCATGTCATGAAGACTAACCCGACTTATTTATTAAACAGGTTACACGTGTTAAACTGGATCTAAAATTAAACATTATATTATTTAGATTATTTATAATCCTTAAGTACTATAATGAAAAACATATGTCGAACCAAATTATTAAATAGTCTCTAGTCCACAATATAGTAAGTTAAAAAAGAAGTTTAGATAGTTATTACAAAATCTAAATATTCAAAGCGAGAAGAAAAACATCAAACATTCCCCATAGCTAAGTAGGCAGATAAAAATATTTAAATTACTCTAATCACTTGAAAAATCATAAGGTGTGAATTAGAATGAAAAGAAATGACCGTTAAGAATTATGTCTCAAATTCTCATTATTATTAGTTTCTATTTTAGAGTGTATTTTTTTATGGTAATTTCTTATAGAGACGTGAAATGGGCTCTAAGAAATTATAATCCTTGTCCACAAATGAATTGGGTATGTAACTCTATGAATAGACACTTAGGCTATTATTGAGAGTTATGAGTTGAGAGAGATGTAACCTCATGAGGGAGTACGTTGATAGTAGGGGTGAGTTACGGGTTTAGTAGAGTGAACACTGATGGCGAAAGGGAGTCTGGTGGAATAAACGGAGAACTCGGTCAAGAGTTTGTGTGCATGGTCCATTGTTAAAATTTTCTACTATTGTAATATCTTTACATATACAGTGAATCTCTTCGCATCTGTGGATGTAACCCTGATTTTGGGTGAACCACGTATATATCTTGTGTTATGGTTTGAATTGTTGTTTTTCTTTCTTTCTTTTGCTTCCGCTGTGCCCCAACAACTGGTATTAGAGCCGAAGGTGAAGGAAATCTTGAAAACACAAGAAGTCTCAACATGTGCTACAACGGGCTTCAGCTGTAGGTAGAGTCAATCGGCTTAGTTACATGGCATGGAGCTTGAGTAATCAAGGTGGAGCCTTGGGGTTTTGACTGATTGAGCAACGTATAGTGGGGATAATTTGAGCTCTACAATAAGATTGAGAAGATTGAAGTCGCAGAGAATTGTCCAGATTCAATTGCCATGAGAAGCGGTGATTGACGTAATGGAATTTGAGCCAAGGTGAAGATTATTAGGAATTATATCTCAAATTCTCATTATTATTAGTTTCTATTTTAGAGTGTATTTTTTACGGTAATTTCTTATAGAGACATTAATTGAGCTATAAGAAATTGTAATCCTTATCCACAAAGGAATTGGGTATGTGACTCTATAAATAAACACTTAAGCTATTGTTGAGAGTTATGAGTTGACAGAGATATAGCCTTATGAGGGAGTACGTTGATAGTAGGGGTGAGTTACGGGTTTGGTAGAGTGAACACTGATGGCGAGAGAGAGTCTCGTGGAGCACACGGAGAACTCGGTCAAGAGTTTGTGTGCATGGTCCATTATTAAAATTTTCTACTATTGTAATGTCTCTGCATATATAATGAATCTCTTCTCATTCGTGGATGTAACCTTGATTTTGGGTGAACCACGTATATATCTTGTGTTATGGTTTGAATTGTTGTTTTTCTTTCTTTCTTTTCCTTCCAATGTGCCCCAACAATGACAGCTAAGGAGTTAATGTATATTTTTATTAGGATTTATATTAAAATGACCAAATTGTCTATAGGTGAACGAGTATAAACGGGTTATACGGGTTTAACCCCTCAACCATAACACGATATGATTAATTAATTGTGTTAATCGTGTTGACTTGTTTATGACCCAAACCTAATTAAGGCCAACCCAAATACGTTTATCTCATGTCGTACTCGAATCGTATTGACGTGTCACAGTTTGTCACCCCTAATTTTAAATAAGCCAGTCACAAACCAGGCATATTGATATATAATACATATATGATATTGAACTACTTACTATCTTTTTGAGTAACTAATAATATAAGAAAATTTAAAATTTGTTGTTATCAAATAAAAATGGTTAGATAACATTTTGTAAAAGATGAAACATATACATGACAAAAAAATAGAACATAATATTATATGAAAATATGATTATCAATTATGTCACACATCAATTTAATCATCTATTTGTGGCATGTCCAAAAGTTACGGAACAATAATTACAAAAAGAACTTCATGGCTAACTACGTTGTAATTTATACATCTGTATTTATACTATTACGTATTAAATGTAGAAAGAGTTTCGTAACATTTTTTTATAATGTTTTTTTTTTTTTTTAATATAAGTTTATCTTTTTACTAATTCTATTACTTTTTTTAAAAAATTATGTTATCATTGTAACTCTTCCTCAAATAATAATTTACTCTCTCTCTCTCTCTCTCTCCTTCTAATTTTATTCTTTTTCTAACTCTTTCCTAAATAATAATTTAGGATATATTGTTATTCATAACCAAAAACTTTCACAACTATAACAAACAAGTTTCTAATTATAATTATAAATAAATCTAATAGTTTAGGAATTGTTTCTTTCAAGAGTTTCTTAACCTATATAGCCACAATTCATTTTAATTTATCAATAGTACTTCTGCTCACGCACGTGCTTTTTACTAGTTAATAAAAAATAAAAAAAAAAATGTTTTGGTAACCAATATTAAAATTATTTGATTTAGAGTAGGGATGCAACATGGGCTGGACAACCATAATCCAAGTTGAGCTTCACCCAATTTTTTGTGGATTTGAACAATTATTTTTACAATTAAGGTTGGGTTTGTGTTGAAATTTTTTAACCTAAGCGTAATTAAGGTTGGGCTTGAGTTAAGATGCTAGCAACCTGAGTCAACCAAATCCGAAATCTAATATTATTTTCATATAAATTTTTTAATTTAAATACATTGTATATGATATTCAAATTATTTTCTGACTCTTTTATTTATTTATTTTTATTTATAATGCAGTTAACTTTAACAATTGTGACTTGTGATAGTTTCTTAAGCCCTATTACGTTTTTTATATAGTATATTGTAATTCATAACACAAAACTTTCACAATTAAAACAAAGAAGTTTCTACTTATAATTATAAATAATTCTAGTAGTTTATGAATTGTTACTTTCAAGAGTTTCTTAACCTATATAACTAATAATTCATTTTAATTTATCAATAGTATTTCTGTTCACGTGCATGACATGTGCTTTTTATAGTTAGTGACCAATATCAAAATTATTGCTTTAGAGTAAGGGTGCAACTTGGGCTGGACAACCTGAATCAAAGCTGAACCTAACCCATTTTTTTTGAATTTGAGTAACCACTTTTACAATTAGGGTTGAATTTGAGATGAAAATTTTCAGCTTGAACGGGGTAGGCATGGGTTGAGGTGATAACAACCCAAGCCAACCCAAAATCATATTAAATTTGTAGTGTGATAATGATTGGCCACATAGGTAAAACCCAATTTTTTCTCCACGAATATCGACTCGAGTTGTAAACCCAAGATTAAAAATAGAATGTGTGAAGCAATGGCAAACCAAATACCCCATCAGTCCATCTTGCAGAATGCATAATAATTGCGAAGGAAATGAAAGAATCCTGAGCGAAAAACTTGCTAATAAACAAAGGAATCGTTCAAAAACGGGAATGCAATCATCTTAAGCACTAAAACAAGGTGTTTAGGTCTTGCTACTATTAATTATGTGGTTAAGAAAGTGAGAACTTTAGCTCCCATCTCGCAAAGCCATTAAAGGAAAGTACTCTAACTATCCCTAATCAGTTGACTTGATATATTGACCCAACCAAAAGCCTCTGATATAGCTTTTTTCTTCGGCGGAAATGTGTAGTTTTAGGGTTCGTTCTTTCTCTCTGGGGTAGGGAAGTCATCGAATTTGACAATCTAGCTCAGTTAGCTAGACACTGTCGGTTTAGCAACCAAATTCCAAATAGGCTAAACTGTTGGCAACTAATAAGTACAAAAAAAGACACGATTCCTTTTTTCTCTTGGGATTTTGGGTATGGAATATTACCATGTGAATGTGCAAGGATGAGTTCGGCATGAGTTAAGTAGTTAGGGTTAAATATCGGGTAAGGGTTGGATCAGGGTTGAACATTGGCCTTTTTTTAACTTAATTTCCATAATTGTGTAAAAGTTTTGACATCAATTTATTTTTCTTAAAAAAATTAGAAATCAGTTATTCTTTTTAGATATTTTTTGTTAGTCAACAAACAGTCCAATAAACAATGTTAATGTTTAGAACCTATTTTTTAAAAATTCCAAAATTATCCCTTATTTTTTTCCTACCAAACTACCCTGGGGAAGATGATTAGTTGGGCGAATCTTAGTGTTAGGATTGAGCCTACCAAAAAAAACAAAAAAAAACTCTAGGCAATTTTAGCCCAACAAAAAACAATAAACAATAAACAAAAAAATAAAAAATTATTAATAGTATTAGCCCACCTAAAAAAATTTTAGCCCATCCCATTAACAATTTCTAAATCCGCCATTGATCAAAATTATACTCCTCTCTCTCTCTCTTTTCTTCTTCTTCTTCTTATTATTATTTTAAAAATATATATATATTTATGAAATGTGTTGCTGCTCTTCTATGAAATCCAGCCAACGTGTGACTTAGTAACAACTTCCATACCAATATATTAATGAACACAAACTAGAGACCAAAATCTCATCATGCCATATGAAAACTAAAGTCTCGATCTCGAATCTCACCCTCTTCCCTATGATCTTCAACCATCTCTTGCTGCTTGAGCAAAAACAAGAACCAAAACGAAGAGGCAAATCAATGAAGAGATGTAGTCTCGTCCTTGCCACAAATAGCCCAGGAGATCCTAACAGTGCTATCAATTTCTCCCCCACAATTATTTTTTTTTATTTTTTATTTTTTTATTTTTTATTTTCAAACAAAATAGGGGCAACTAGATGTACCTGATACCAAGGATTGAGAAGAAGAAATAAAGACTTTGTCATGTGTTATTGAATAGGATTATGTGTGGAACAAAAGTTTCAATTTTTTTTTTTTTTTTCTTTTTAAAATGGGAAAATCTAATCCATTGATTCATTAAAATCTGATAATAATTTTCATAAAATAAACGTTATATGTGGAATAGTTCTCTATATTTTTCTCAGAACTTAATCAAGTTTTTATCTTGTTGGAAAGATTTTCACGCTAAAATGCCAAAAACTATGGGAATAGGAAGCAAGAAAAAAAGTGACAGCTAATAACATGACAAAAGAACTTATTGAACGTTTCATTTATACAATTATCTCAACTCGGCCAACCATCCGAGTTGCAGCCACTTTAAACTTAAAAAAATGAATAAGAACTAAATTTAACAAATAATTACTAATAAGTGACCTCAATTTTGTGAAAAATACTTGTTTGTTTATTAAACATTGTAAAAAAATTTATTAGGTGATTTTCCTACAAAGAGAAGCCAGAATTGCGACAGCCAGGGTTTAGAAGTTCTGACAAACACTTTTTTTTTTTGGGGACAGGAAGGATCCATGAGGTCCCAAGCTTCAATGCTGCACTATGATTTCATGGCATAAAATCGCTGATCGTGCCGCCTTCTTCTTTTGCTGGTGTTGGTGGCTATGGCAATTATGCCTTCTGAGGAAATTTTGTGCTTTGGCTCTCTCTTTGCAGTAAATTCAGCTTTGAACTGACCATCAAAGGGATTGCAGATTGTACTTGGAAATCAATGTTTGTATGTATTTTGACCAAAATTAGCCTCAATTGGTTACTAATTAGTAATTACCCGGCAGATGTCTTGATAGCCCAGTGAATTACTGTTTTCGGTAGATTTTAAAGTGATAGGTTTCGACCCTCTACATCTACTAGTCTAACTTTTAACTATTCTTCTTGCCTTGTAATTATCTTTTGTAAAGTTTAAGGTCAATCTAAAACTAGTATTTTTTAATTTTAGTTACTAAAATTTAACTTTCCCAAAAATATAACTGTTATTTTCATCAACATACTAATATATTGTTGTAGCTCTGAATTACAGGAAATTTGTTATTTAATTTTATTCTTAATATATATATATATTTTTGGTGGAATAAAATGATAAAAAGACAAGAAAAGGGAATAAGTTATACTATTTTATAGAATAAATATGAGTTTCATATCTCCCCTTTATTAATTACAGATTTGTAACTGTAGAATTGAGATTAATACTCTCCAAATATTGCAGCAAACCATATCTCACGTAGTGATTACAGTTATTGTGTAACGGTCACATTCATGTTCCAAATCAATTATAAGGTGGTGGTGGTGTTAGAGAGCAAGCATTTCTAAGGTGTGTCAATGGCTAAAGAAGGTGGCAAAGGTGGCGCGAAGGTTGAGGAGGTACACCCACATCCGGTGATGGATCAGCTACCTGGCATTCAGTATTGTGTTAACAGTCCTCCTCCTTGGCGTGCGTGCTCTCGACTCTCTATATGCATGTTCTTCTACACACACATATACACACACAAATATCTATATATCATATTCTACAAGTATATATTGTTTGTCAATATTTTACTGTTTTGTTTGATTTAGGCTTCTGAGTAACCGAGATAAGTTTAATTTCCGTTTCCTTGTAATGGATTTGAATTGAATTAAGTATAAATTCAAGTATCTTCAAGGATTTGTATATGGCACTTTTAAATATTGTTGGGGTTTGAGAATTTTTATTTGATTGATTTTGCTTCTAGCATAATCTGGATAAGTTTCAGTATTTTCCCTTTTTTGTTTTAATTATTTTTATTTTGTTAGAACTCTTTACAAAGTTTTGTCTGTTATATTATTATTATAATTGGAATTGTGAATTTGGGGATTTTCTAGGAATTTGTTTGATGCAATTGGTGACCTATTGCTCTATTTTGGATTGAAGAAAAGAAAGACATTCATGTATGTTATTGTTCTCAAAATGCAGCAGAAGCACTTTTACTAGGGTTCCAGCATTATCTTTTGAGTCTTGGTATGATCGTCTTGATTCCAAGTATTACAGTTCCTCAAATGGGTGGTGCCAATGTGAGGATTTAGTTTTGTCATTTTTGATAATGCCCTCGTTGCCTTTTCTAATTCATTTGCCTAAAAAAATTTCAAAATAAAATTCGAGTCTTGTATCCTTTGCAGGGGGAGAAGGCTAAGGTGATACAGACCTTACTCTTCGTTTCGGGATTGAACACATTATTTCAAACCTTATTTGGGACTCGACTTCCATCGGTGATTGGTGCTTCGTACTCATATCTAATTCCTGTGACTTATGTTCTACAAGCCAAGAGATACAATTCATTCCTAGAACCTCATGAGGTGGATTGCACATATTCTATATATGTATTTACAATTTCTTAGACCTGGAAATGTCAAATTTTCAATTTGTAGGATAAAGATTTGGAGACAGAAGTCCGAATTCCGAATGCGAGAGGGGTGTGGGGCCCGCACTCCCCTCTTTGCATTCGACATTCGGACTTCAGACTCCGTATCACAACACTGTACTTTTAACTTCACAATTTTTGCCTTGTGGGTGGTTTTTTCAGAGGTTTGAAAAAACAATGAGAGGCATACAAGGTGCTTTGATTGTTGCCTCATTCTTCCAAATTGCTATTGGTTTCCTAGGCTTCTGGAGAAATCTTGTAAAGTGAGTTATTATTATAGAATGCTGCTTTTATGCATAGCCATGAAAGTGAAATGTTTTAACCTTCCGGGTACCAATTTTTTTTTTTTTTTTTTTTTTTGGAGTTGGATATCCATTGATTCCAGATTTCTTTATACTCTTATCCAGGTTTGTTAGCCCTCTTTCCATGGTTCCTATTGTGACTTTTACTGGACTTGGGCTTTACCAATTCGGTTTCTCAATGGTAAGTATAGTTATAAATTCTTCAGTGTTTTTTTCTCTTTGATGTTGTCATTTCTTTAATCAAGGCCATGTATACACTCTACTCTTCATGTACGAATTAGATACCTCGGTTGAACTCTCGCCACATACATTTTCAAGATAACTGTATTTCGTAGGTTTCAATTTAATACATTGTCAATCTGTAACAACAAGCTCTCCGTAAATTTAATTCATAATATTGTTGAATATGAGAACACAGGCTCTCTGTCACCGGTCATGAGTATGAATCCAATCTATATTTGTATCATTGCTAGACTTAAAATTCTATGATTCCAGAGATCTCTAATGCCGAAAAAACCCTTCTAACAGTTGTGATTTTAAATTCACCTCATCTTTTAGGGGTTTCCTTCCACTTTCTTCTCAGCAATTTGGATGTATACATGAGTTCGTGTAAACTCTTTGATAATCTGGACTAGTTAAGTCCATCATACATGATTTCACATGGTTCGAAAGCAACTGGTTTTTCTTATAGTAAATGAATATTTGGTCAGAAGTACAAATATTATTTTGCAGTATAGAAATGGCATATTTCAATATATTCTATTAAATTGTCCAATTTTGTTATCATAATAAAATTATTTCACTATTAAAAAGGTCTTTTTTTTCCCCTCCCACTGCAGCTGGCAACATGTGTTGAAGTTGGGCTCCCTGAATTAATTTTAATGGTTGTCATATCACAGGCAAGTAAACTGATCTATTTGTTTTACTGTTCTTCCGTTAAAGAGGCTCGTAGTTCAGTACGTTTCTTCATGCAATATAAATTGTGTGCATAGAAGGATGAGTCTTTGGACTCTTGCTTTCTAGTGGAGTGCTAAGTACTAATGCTCTTAGTTGATTCATGCTTTTGCAGTATGTTCCTCAATATGTAAAAACAAAGAGGCCAATATTTGATCGATATGCTGTGCTGTTCTCGGTTGCTGTTGTATGGGTTTATGCACAAATTCTAACCGCGAGTGGTGCATATAATAAATCTACGGAGAGAGAGTCTATTTGCCGCACTGATCATGCTGGACTCATTGGTGGATCTCCTTGGTGAGATTTTTGCACTCAGTCTTGAATAGGACACATTTCCTTTTTCCTTCTTTTTTATTTATTTATTTATTTTTTATTTTTCTGGAATTAAAGTAACAAATTCCATTTTCAAACCACTAGAAGATATCTCTTTTAAATGAAGCCTGGTCAATAAATGATCTTCAAGTGACAAAGTATCATTCTTAGATTCATCTCAAATGCAAAATTTAATTCTTCAACTTTTATATTGAAATCTGGCTCTTGATTCATCGTACAACTTGAAATTTATTGTTTTTAAATATTAGGGATTCATTAAGGAGAACATCATTTCACTTGTGCTCCCAAAAGGGAGAAAGATAAAAAGTGTCAAATTTGGCAGGCTCTTATCAAATACATGTTACTTTATCAAATCAGGAATTATATTACATTTCTAGAATGGCAGGCTCTCACTGAACTCGCGCCCTCATTGTTGTTGGATTGTCAACCAGTCGATCCGAAGACAATGAGGGTGCAAATTCAATGAGAGCCACCCTCATAGTGAGTTTCTCTATACTAGTTATTTCAAAATCTCTTAGTATGAGAACATTAAACAGCTTTTGGAATCAAGTGAAGAAGGAAGCAAAGCTTGTTTGACTGATTAACATCTCAACTGATCCACTCGGGAAACTTTGCACTTCTGCTAACAATTTGTGATCTTATCCTATGCGTTCTGTTGCAGGATATATATGCCTTTCCCATTCCAATGGGGGACTCCCACTTTTGATGCCGGGGAAATTTTCACAATGATAGCTGCGTCCTTTGTTGCTACTGTTGAGGTGCACTCCTTGCTGAACTTATATTGTATCTCCTAGTTCTTGAATTGATAATATACCCTTGCAGTATCACTATATATTGTTCAAAAAGTATATAAAAACCAGTAGGTGACAAAAGAAAAGCATAAAACTGGTTTCCCTATGCTAAAAATGAAACGTAAATATTATTATGACAGAACCTTATTTTTCCAAGTTATATTCTTTACAGGCAATTAATTTTCCAAGTTAAGAATCGCAGAAAGTGACGACTAATTTTCAAGTTAAAAGATTATTTGCAGTTGAGTTATCCACCAAACTATGCGTATGAAAATGAGAAAACAAAAGATGAGCCACAGTGAAAGAATTTATGAAAAAAGCAAACAGTTCCCAAGATTTAAGATTATTTATCCTAACTAATATTTGAGGTAGGAATTGTTCAGAGTGTGTTTGTGCGTGTGTGTAACAGTGTGTGTGTGTGTGAAGAGGGATGGGCACATCCTTGTACTTCCAATTCGTACTGTGAATTAATTCAAAGTCATGCAAATAGAAGTACATCTTAGCAACACTAAAGAGTCTGGAATATTAATCATATATTAATTTTTCGCAGTCTACTGGTACATTTTTTGCAACAGCGAGATATGGAAGAGCCACACCTGTGCCACCTTCTATTATCAGCCGCGGTGTTGGCTGGCTGGTAGGATTCAATTCTGTGATTCTTTCCCCATTATGGTGATTCTCCATGGGTATTACTGCTTCACAGTCATGCATTCTTTTGAATTTCAGGGGATCAGTACTTTTCTGGATGGCATGTTTGGCTGTGTAACTGGATCTTCTGCATCAGTGTAATAAACTAAACCTTGAGAGATACTTTTTGAGCTCAAGTTCTTCTATGAATGAATTGTGTGTGGACATCTACTCGCCCTGCTTCTAGTTCAAGTGCTGCATGAAAATTGCACCACCTCATAGATCATCACATTAGTCCATATGTACCTTCCCGTCTATCATTAGATAAACTTGCTGATGTTTTTGAAGTAAAAAAAGAGTGGGGGTTGTTGCATAGTTTAGAATTTAGATCAAAGTCAATAATTTGAGGCGTCTTGATTTAGGATCTTTGAATGAATCTATAAATTGGAACTGCCTTTTTTTTTTCCAAGTTCTGTTCTCTATGTGGAAGCATGTTGTGTGTTCTAATATTCTCAATTTCCCTAGGCAAATGAACCCCTTTTGAACTATAATTTTTATGAAATGATCGGCAGATGGGCTACCGTTCCAGGGTAAAAGAGATCGGTTATTATTTCAAAGGATATATCCCTGGAAATGCATCTCGATATTGCTTATTCATATTTTAAACCAACTGCAACTTTTTAAGAATTCTATTTTGTGAAATGCATCAGGGTTCACAAAAAGTAGTAGTGATGTCCCAGCCCCAATCATTTTAATTTTTCCTGACACCTGTGCTTATTGTGCTTTGCTCTATTGATAGTGAAAATGCCGGTCTATTGGCATTGACGAGAGTTGGGAGTCGAAGAGTCATTCAAATATCAGCTGGGTTTATGATCTTCTTCTCTATATTAGGCAAGTCAGCCCTTCTCCCCTTTAAACTTTGCTTATCAATTATTTTGACATAAAAGATCACTTGTAACTTTATATCAACTTAGGAGCATTTGAGATTCATTTCTGTTCTGAAATAGAAATTGTTGCTGAGGACCAGGTAGTGACATTTTCCAAAATTTGAAGAAATGTAAAAAAAATACTGTTACTTGTCAATGTCTATGACCTGCTGTTCCATTTTCAAAATAGTGAGAACAGAAATGCATCCGAAGGCACCTAGAATCTGAATCACTCTTCGTTATCTTGCAGTTCCACTATGCATATGCTGACCGAACCAAAAAAAAGAAAAGAAAAATACAATGCCTGTTGTTCAGACAGTAGATTTTTTTTAACAGTTTCTCATGCTGATATAATGTTATCCCTAAGCAGGAAAATTTGGAGCATTGTTCGCTTCAATACCTTTGCCGGTCATAGCAGCTCTATACTGCATCTTCTTTGCCTATGTTTGTATGTATCTTTCTCCTCTTTAGTCGGTAATTTATTAGAACTCTCTTGTGCTCCTTTCATTGATTGCTCTATTTTCCTTAGTTGAGCCGCACATAAATTCTTTGTTAGACAATGTTAAAGGATTTGCATCTATTATGCCTTTATCTAAAAAGGTAGTATATCTTCTTGGCTTTAAATCATTTTGGAGGAATAACAGATAATAAACTCCTAATTGCTAAAAAATTCTACGAATTTAAACACATCTAGAAAACTCATCGAGTATCAACTAGGAAAAAAAATCATTAACTTCCGTCCAAAAGTAAATGTAGTTTCTTTGAAGGCCTCATGAGTATCATTAGAATGCCTCAAAATAGACTATAGATTAGAATATTTGTATACTACAAACGGCCAACACAGCTAAAATGCTGCCAATAGCCATGTAAATTGCATCTTTAAATTCATCTGCAATTTATTTTGGTTGAGAAGGAACTTTTTGTCACATAAATTCTTATAGACATATGTAAATATCTATACTTTATACATGAGGGTGGTTCAATGAGACAAAATTCGACTTATTTTGTTGCATGCAGCTTCTGCAGGCCTTGGTTTTCTCCAATTTTGCAACCTGAACAGTCTAAGAACAAAATTCATACTAGGTTTATCGTTCTTCCTGGGACTTTCAGTACCACAATATTTCAAGGAATGTCAATTAAGTTCCGGAGTTGGTCCTGTTCACACGCATTCTAGATGGGTACAAACATATACATTCTTGAACTAGAACCTGTCATTGTCTATTCACAATTTGCTAACCAGTTCTCTAATTGATTTTGTTTCATAAAATTGCAGTTTAATGACATAACGTCTGTCGTCTTCATGTCCCACACAACGGTGGCTGCTCTAGTTGCCTTGTTTCTGGATTGCACTGTTTCTCGAGGAGATGATGAAACTCGAAGAGATAGTGGCTCACACTGGTTGGACAAGTTTGTAGCGTATGATACAGATGTCAGGACTGATGAATTTTATGGACTGCCATGCAAGCTTAATAAGCTATTCCCGCCTTTATAAGCATTACGAGTGAAGGGAAAACAGAACTTAAACCGCATATTTGCTTCGCCAGATCAATATAACTCTGCTTTGCTTCACAATCACGTAGGTAGATTTACCGCGATAGGCTGTTAATGATTAGGTAAGTTTGTCCAAGTTTTGCTGAATGTTCCTTTGCTCCAATGTTCTCCATTTTGTATGTGATTTGAATGTAAGGTTTTAATGTAACAGTACTGTTGATTGGTTTTTTTATCCACATTCGATGCCATATATATATATATATATATATTTACAAGCTCTTTGTTGCAAGTGCTAAAGCTATCAAAGCAGCTATGGGACTTTTAAGAGTAGTAATTTATGGACCCAATTCCGCTCCCATTAATGGGAATGAGGTGGTGGCCCCACGAATGTGAGTGGAGTGGTGGGCTCACGTGAAATTCGGTGACTATCGAATTAACATGTCATTCTTTTTAGAGTTCTTACTAAATTTCTATTGTGATTTTATTCCCATTGTGAATAGGATGGGCAACATAAATTTTGTCTTTACTCTTATTTACTACTCCTTATTTCATTTATTATATTTGTTTAGGTAAAGTACAAAAAAACCCCTTGAAGTATTGGTCATATAGCAGAAAACCCCCATGATCTAATAATTTAGCATATAACCCCCTGAACTAACTAATTTGTTGCAATTAACCACATCCGGTGATAAGTCGGTTGAATTTGTTCGTGAAGAAGCACACGCGGGTTACGTGACAACCCAAATTTCTTTAAATGACCATACAACCCTTAACCTTTACACCCAGAACCACTTAAAACACCCAAACACGCCCTTATGCTAAATACACACTGTTCATCGTCAATAAAACAGATATATATGTGTATATATAGTTATAATCACTGTTCATCTTTTTCACAGTGTCCATATCCATATCCATCACAATCGTCATGGCCATTCACATCATAATCGAAACCAACTCCTCCACCGTCCTCGCCATCCCCACCGATGATACCATCACCACTGTCCCCACAACTACACCTTTGACACATGGAAAACTGTTGTCACCTCGGCCAGATCATTCAAGAACAGCTTGTCGGCGGAGCAAGAAATCATTGATCCAGCTCACCAGAGTAAAACCAGTAGAGAGAGGAGACCGAAGGTCGGCGGCGGCGGTAGCGAAGCACCGCGGTGGCTTCCCCCTCCATAAATTGACCCACCCTTCCTTCCCGGAATCGACCCAGCGCTGGTTCGCCCTGCGTTCCTCTCCTTTTCTTAATGACAACGGCTTTGCCCAAATTAGCCTCCGCTCCTTCCCGATGCTTGACAGCGGCAGGGATAGGCTCAATTGATGGTATCGGCTATGATGGAGGCGGCGATGAGCTTGGAATGGGGAGGTCGGCGGATGAGGTGAAGCTCGACACTAACTTGCAATAGTGCTCGGAACATAGACGGCGGTGTGCTCGGCCCGTGGAGACGGCTGGTTCGGGACGGCAACGAATCAGCGACTAAAGAAGTCACGATTTCTGGTGATGGGCTGTTATGAAGAAGCTCGGCCGTGATTGGGTTTGATGGCGGGCGGCGGGACTGAAAGGCTGCGACCTTGGCTTCGGATGATGGCCATCGGATTGGGGTTGGCTTTGACATCGGCGGAGAGCTCAATGGTCTTTGTTTAGCAGAATGAATTTATGCGAAAAAGTCTACCCAATTTCCCTGTTTAGGTCATGTGGCTTAATTGGCCCTATCTGGGCTTGGGTTGTTTTCCCCGGGTCCAGACTTGGACTCGGTTTTGGGGCTAAATTGGTGGTTACTGAAATTTTTAGTGAAACAACGTAGTTTTATGTAAGGGGTAAAATTGTCTTTTACTATTTTCGTTATAATCAATTGGCTGGAGATGTCACATTGGGGTTAATTGCAAAAATTCAATAATTCAAGGGGCAAATTGTAATTCAGAGGGGTTAATTACACATGGTCAATACTTCAAGAGATTTTTTTTGCACTTTACCCCATTTGTTATATATATATATATATATATATATATATATATAACGGGGCCCACAAATATATTACTATTAAATTGCATGCAACTTGCAAATCTAATGATGGCATTGAAATCGTAGCCACAAAGGAACATATCTGATTGGTTAACATTATGTATAAATAGATGATAGGAGGGTTAGCACTGGTATACTGATTGTACCTAAAAGTGAAGAAATAACAGTAATCTCTGCTCTGTGTGCGTTATTTCTCTTCATATATAAGGTTTTAATGTTACAGTACTGTTGATTGGTTTTTTTTATTTTTTATTTTTTATTTTATCCACATTCGATGCCATATCTGAAACTTATTTATGGACCGAATTCGACTCCCATTAATGGGAGTGGGGACGTGGGCCCTACGTGAATTTCAGTAAATATAATGTGAGTGGAGTGATGGGCCTCATGTGAGGCTCGATAACTATCGAATTAACAAAGAGCTTTAGGGCTCGTTTGGCATGCATTTTGTTTATGTTGTTTTTGTTTTTTAGATGTTACAATGTTGATTTTGGCAACAAAAACATATTTGGTGCGACTTTGTTTTATTTATACAGTGCTAAAACACTTCGTGAGCAGTGATCCAAAACTAAAATACCAAAAAGTTATTATTTTTTCTTGTTTTGACAATTGTTCATGGCCCAAAATCATAACTTTGCATGTTTCTATTTCTAATATTTCCACAACAAAATATCATTTCCAAACGTGTTTTCAAATTTTTTTCAAAACACTTTTACAGCAAAAAAACACTATTTCTGTTTTAGCCAAAAATAAAACAAATGCTAAACGGTCCTTAATAAATTACTATTCTGACTGTATTGCCCTTGTGAGCAACATAAATTTTGTCTTTACTCTTATTTACAACTCCTTGTTTCATTTATTATATTTAACTTTTTAAAAATAATTTCATTTTGAAAATTTAATTTACCCTTCTCATTCAGGGTAAAAAAAAAAAAATTCCTCCTCTCATCTCCAAATGTCCAAATCACAGATTGTAAAATTACCTCCAAACCCACGGGCCACAGCATTTTTTTTTTTTTTTGGCGGCAATTGAGTTTAACTTTTTAAGCGATCATATTACTGGCGTCCAAAGAGGAATATATTCCGGGAGTGACAACTCTTTAAATAGAAAATCAGATTGATTTTACCACTTTGCCAACGCAAAATATCTATATTTAATGGAACAAAATTGTATGAATGTCGTCCTTTTTCATAGATTTTGTTTCCAAAGCGACGTCGGACCAGATTTGATTACGGTGTCCTTAGATGTAATTGCAGCACTAACCGCCTGCACCTGATCAAGAATAATACCACCTCTGTTTCATCGCCAACCCTATTGTGTGAATTGGCCTCTGCTACTCTTCAATCCTTTCATTTCACTTCTCTCTAAATCTCTTTCTTTCTCTCCCTATATATATGTACACACTTGTAGATACACATATATACAACTGCTTGATATTGCATTCTGCATCCAGCCTTTATTGCATCGTTGATTCTGATTGAATTTGGGTGGGTTTCGCAATTTCAAGGTATGTCTTTCTTTCATGTCCTCTATCTGAATTTTAATTTTAATTTTATGCATGACCAAAAATCATTTTTGAAACTTTTTCCCTATTTTCAACATTTTTATATTTCTTCATTTGTCAATGAGTCATTGATATCATCACCAGAAAAAAAAAAAAAAAAAATTATTATATATGTTTGGAAAAAGGAAACATTCAAATCCAACTTGTATCTATTTTTTTACTGTATTCGCTTGCAGACTAGGGTTTCCATAAATCTCTCTCCACACACACATAAATATGTGCTTTTTGAATGATCATGTTTATTTATTTTTTATTTTTTTCCTTTTGAGAAATTCAGAGACGACATTCACAACGTGTTTGATTCTTGAGATAATCTGGAAAAAAGAAGGAAATGAGGTGAAATTACATTTTACAGGAAATGGGCAGATCAAAACATCAAGGCCAGTCCTAATTGCACCATATAGAAAATGAATAGATTTTTGAGGGACATATTGTCAAGAAATATTTGAACTGCCATTTAATTGTCATAATTGGAGCACCTTTACTTTTTGAAATCAGCAGCTTCAACAGTTGATTGAACAATTTTTTTAATGAAGAACTACCATAAATTAACTGCAACATAATTCGTTCTCAAGACTATCGAAAGGTTCTCCAAGATTCTGTATTTTAAATTTGTAGGTTTTGCAAGGAATACTTTCATTTAATGATCTTACCATGCAATAAAATGAGTTTCTATATCAAACTGCTCCTAAAAATCATGCAGTGGATAAATGTTGAACCACCTGAATATAGGTTTTGTAACTTATTCATGGCATCATTTGGGCTAGATTTATTGAGGAAGTTTTTGAGAAGCTATGCTTCTTTAGATTAGAGAAGTAATGTGGTGCTTGTTGGTTGCATTATATCATAATCTTCTGCCCAAGGAGTCCTTTATATATATATATATATATATATATATTTTTTTTTTTTTCTTCTTTTCTTTAAGTAGTTCAGTTTATTTATGATGGTTATTAATTTATGATCGACAAACTTTGGTGTTTTCTTGCTTCAAGGGGTGAAGGGATGTTGAGTGGTCGTCGTGAAAATTTGACAGCACTTTCTGAATCATTTGATAGTCAATCCGACTGTGAAGATGGGAGCAGAGCTTATGAAAAGGAAGGGAAGGGAAAGAGACTTTGGAAGAAAGTGAAATATCAGCTTGTTGAATACCATTCTTTGCCAGGGTATTTAAGGGACAATGAATTTATTTTGGGTTATTATCGATCAGGATGGCCATTGAAGCAGGTCTTCCTGAGCATCTTCTCCATTCACAATGAGACTCTTAATGTTTGGACGTAAGAAGTCTATCTCAAATTTTACAAGCCTTAAACATGTTTACCTTGTTTTGATTTGCATTTTCTATCTTCCAGTTAATGTTATTACATTATTCGCACTGGCATTTTCACTTGGAGAGTTTACAAGGTTCTTCTTCTAAAAGGAAGTGGCAACCAATCTTTTAAATTTGTACAAACTCAATAATGTTATATATTAATTATATATTTATATAAACAAGTTGGAAATTTGGTCCATTTGGATATTCTTTTTGGAAGGCCTCTTAATTTGGTCAAACATGATCTGTTATATCTACCCATAGATTTACTTAAGATAACATGCGAACAATCTAATGAATTATAAAAATGAAAAAATAAAAAAAATCTAATGAATTCTTGTTTTATTTTATGTTCCCAATTTCTTTATTTTTAGCTTCACGAGAGACATGTACATACATATTGTTACGACAAACGCAGCAAACCCAAGAACAAATCAAGAAACACGACAGAAAAGGTAACACGACACACAAAGAACACAAAGATTTAGCGTGATTGGCAAAGCCTACATCCACGGTGAAGATCCGACAAAAGAATTCACTATGCGAAATTTGGAGATTACAAGTTTAAGCCCCCAAACCCTAGCTCTCGTTCTCACTCTCTTTTTTACGATTTTCAGTGTCTTTCAATATCCCACTCCAAACCCTAAACGCCCTTATATATCGGGCTACAAGAGAGTACTAATTAGGGTCCACGGCCCACAAGAAAAAAACGGGTAAAATTTTTTCCCAACGGTTTGTCGGGTCGTAAACAGGCTGCAACGCGACCCAACACCAAACTCGGGCCACAACATCACACACACACACGTACACACATATACATTCTGGTTGTAAATTTCTATATATGTATGTAGGTTCGTCACCTCTCACTAAACACACTGTTAACTCCTTGTGGCAGGATGAGGAGGCCTTGACTGAACTTGTCAAAATGCTCTTTGTTGATTTGATTCTAGTTTGAGTGCTAGGCCTTGCTTGTATAGGTTTGGATTAGTTACAAAGCCTGATTGACATTTATATCTTTATTTTCTCCACCTTTAAAGTCAGGTAGCTTTTGAGCCTGCTTGAATTTTAACCAATTCAAACCAGCCCAACTACTTTCATTATCAGTTTTGGTATGAATATTCATTGTTCCACATGTAAATGAATAATAGGAAATTATTTTGAATCGTTAAGTGACCACAGAGAGAAGGTGTTCAATAAACTTGAAGTAGCATGCTTAGTAGTTCTCTGACACCCCTTTTCCTGAAAAGAAAAAAATGGAAAGAAAGAAAAAGTGCTATTCTTAACTTAAAATGACACATTGCTTCATTCCTAATGATGTTGGGACCCAGGTGGGGTTTGGAATTGGTGCATGTATTTCTTTTGTAGATGCACATTATTAGCGGATTTCACTTTGTTCGCTTGCCTTTCAGCAATTTTACATTGGTGTATGAATTTTTATTGTGGGTTGAATGTATTGTGAGGAGGAAAGGGGAGGGTTGGAATCCATATATTGCGAATGTTGGTTTATTAGATTGAATATGAGATGAGTCTAGAATCAACATTATTATTGGGACTGGTGAATGTTTTACCTTACTAGGGGATGACAAAATACTGATTTCCATTTAGCTATGGATAAGGCCTTGTGCTGTTCAGTTAAATTCTTTTTGGCAGCTTGACAATTGATGGGAAGCGAGTAGATTATCTTCGAAGGTGGCAGGATGATTGATCAAAGTATCTTCTCCAGCCTTCGGGAGTGACTTGAGAAGCTTCTTAGGAATGAGTTCTTGGTGTAGGACAAGAACAGACTCAAACAGAAGAAAGGAAATAAGAGTTGTGGGCTGGAAATTCAGATCAACAAAGCTATTCAAGAGTTGTTAGTAGAGAAGAAGGATTGAAAATAACAAAGAAAAGCCTATTGGCATAACACCAACAGAAAACAAAAACCTATTGGAATCACTCCAACAGGGCCTAGGTATCAGAAGGCCTCACACCCTCAGAATTTGTGAATCACTCACAAAGAGATCTCAAAGACTTTTTATTCATTCATTTACTGCCTCACCAAGTTTACATCATATCCTTCTTATACCAACTTATGACCCTGAGATTACCCCTAATTGAGGCAATCAATACTTGGCTCTAACATAATAAAAGTAATCACCCCATAATTGAGGTAATCAATATTTGACCCCATAATTGAGGCAATCAATTGACCCTTGGATTACCCCATAATTGAGGCAATCAATTGACCCTCTTGGATTACCCATAGTTAAGGTAATCAATCCTTACCTAATAGCATAATTAAAGTAGTTAAAAGTCGACCAAATCTCCCAATTATTCAAACTCCATGTGGACCCATATTATCTAGCCTATGCCAACTCGAATCTTCGAATCCTCTTTTTTGGCGCCATTGATCTCCATCAGTTCTTCAAATTTCCTTTGGTTAACTAGAAAAAATAGTCTACAGTTCTTTGGATGGAGTGCTTGGCATCAGGAAGTTTATGCAACTTTATCAAGTCCTTGGGAAGTGGCAGTGAAGATACCCCTATGGAAGATGATAGGCTGTGTAAAAGGTGGTTGGAAGGGAGGTTTTGGAGTGATAGCAGAGAATGGACACAAGATGCCCTTGTAAAGTGGGAATGTGGAAGGGGATCAGGAAAGGCTGTGTGAAGCTATTCAAGAATATAGGGTTGTGGTGGTAATGAGTGTGATACAGTTTTGGTAGGATGCTTTGTGTGGAGATTTTCTTTTTTAGAGAAGTCTTTACTTGTATCTTTATTATTGACTTCAACAAGCAGCTTATAATGCAGATTTGTTAGATTTTCAGAGAGAGTTACTTTTGTGCATGTTTTTGGTCTGAGGTAGAATTGGAGCAATCAATTTTTAAATCATCTAGTGCTCAATTTTCTCTTTGAAATGTGCTTATGAGTAGTGAATTTGGTTTTTCCAGGAAAATTAGACCTTGTTCTTATTTTCCTTTCTGCATGAGATGAAATACTAGATGTTAGGCATTTTTCTTTTTTTCTTTCTTTCTTTCCTTCTTTTATTTTATTTTATTTTTTTTGTATTTTGTACTGCTTGTTCCATGACCTTTCATGAAGAGGAAGAAATTAGATGTATATCATTCACTGCTCTTAACATTATTCACATTTGTTTCAGGCACTTGATCGGGTTCTTTATTTTTCTTTCCTTAACTGTCTACACAGCAATGAAAATTCCAAAAGTCATGGATCTCCATTCTCTGCAACAGCTACCCAATTTTCTCAAGGGAACTGATCTGAACAAGATTCGTGCAGAACTCTTGAAATGTATTCCCTCCTTACCCAACATGCCTGATTTTCATCGATTAGGAGATGAGTTGAAGACATCTTTGCCATCAATGGATTTGTTTTCCTCACTTTCTGGTTGGCATATTACGGAACTTCTTACCAACTGTTTGCCTGAGCAGTTCACTGTTACCAGTCAAACAGATGATTCTTTTCTGGTAATACGTCATATCTAATTATTGGTTTCTTTGGTAATTATATAAAGTTGAATGCTTATTTGTTGAAGAATTGTCAGATGATAATATTTCACTCTTTAGTGAGTGGTTACTAAGTAGACAAATGTGTGAGGCAATTTTAGTTTTAAGGTCTTCATAATTTATCAATCTGGAACAACTATTATTAGCATGCAAAACAGAATGATGAAATTGTCGAAAGATGGCCTTGTATTAGTTAGAAAATGAATACACACTCTTTTACTGGTATGTTTAGTTTTGATTATAGAGAATGGCTATTGTATTTACTTATTTTTCCTACATATATATGCATTAGCAACAAGATAAAGAAAATATATTCTCCAGGCAACCTACCAATTTATTACAAGATTATTGATAGCATTTTTTGTTTTTTCTCAACGATTTTGTCATCTACTGCTTCCCCTTTGTAGTACACTAGCCAGTGTTGGGAATGAAAACCTCGCGTTAAAGAAAAAACAAGGATCATGCCCAAATGTGAAGCTTAGGAATATGGAGAAAAGCAAAGGCAGGGGACCACAAACATGTAACGGGGATTGCATGGTTCAGCACTATATCTGTGGGCAAATCCGTAAAATAATAATTCAATATCAATTTGGAGACTGAAACATTCATAAGATTTAAACATCCATGAGACAACCTGGTGAAACCCATTAGCATCTTTCTCTCACAGCTTGCTTGACCTTATGCCCTTCTGTTCCTACGTTGCATACAACAATCCATCTTCACTTCCATGTTTACATCCGGGGACTTCTGTTTGGTGCCGCTCGTCAACCTTGAACCTTAGGTATACCTCATTTGATGCTACCAAGAGATGAAGGGAGTGTCCAATGGAGAGGATCACTCCCTAGAACCACAATACTCGATTGGTACTATGTTGTGCTGCATAGTCTCTCTCTCTCACAACAACCCCAACACACCCCCCCCCCCCCCCCCCCCCCCCCCCCCTCTCTCTCTTCTAAAATCTCTTTTCCACATCTTCAAATACTAGATTGTTAGAAAAAGTATTTTGGTGTCTTGACAAAGTACTCTATATAAATAAACCATTACCTATTATATCCATAAGAAAGATTTAGGCTTTTTATGTTTCTTTAATTTAGTCGGGGGGAAGAAAATGGAAGGTTAAATAATTCCCATCATTTCCTACTCTATTCAAATAATTTCTAATGAATATCAGGAATCAAGAAAAAGAGAAAAGTAAATAAAAATATTATATATTTGATCCTTGCTTGCTCTCAAGTTTTTATTCGTCCTCTTGTTTCCTCTGAATCTTCGTGAACCAACCGGGGAACATGGATCCTATCCTGTATTACCTTTCTTTTCTGTTACTACGTCTAAAAACCAAACACAGCCTTTGATGTGGTTATTTTCCTATATTAATTTAATTAACACCTAGATGGAAATATATAAGCTTTTGGAGGGATGAAGGGGATAAAACTGAGTTTAATGTACACATCCTGATTCACTTGATTCTTTTTTTATGTATTTCTTTTGGCAGGTGATTCACTTGATTCAGTACTGCAACTGGTTTCAATAATGTTGGAAAGCTAAGAGTCTTAAAATTACATTGAAACAATAAGGGGAAAAAAAAAAAAAAAAGGCGGCTTGATTATAGACAAAAAATTATTCCCTCGGAGGGATATGAAAGGTGTAAAACGGAATTTTATGAACACATCCCCAATTAAGTCATAACTCATGCAAGTGATTTTAACCACATTGGAGGGCTTGGAGGTTTTAAATGGTTATATTAAAAGAATTAGGAGAAAGAAAAATTTTATCTGATTGGAGAGAACTGGGGGATTGGACTAGTTGGCATTTCCGATGCAAAAATAATTCAGATTTGGACACTTAAATATGCCCAAAACCAGTTTTTCAACCAAGCACCCAAAAATACCACACCTGCGTGCTAGTGATATAAGATTTGGTCTCAATATTATGTACTCGACTCATTTCACTTCCTCAAGTTAATTGGTAAATGTGTGTGTGTGTGTTTGTTTTGTTTTTATTTATTAGTTTTTTTATGTAGTTCCTTTTTCTCTTTCTTTTTTCCCTAATTCAAAATAGGTTCAGGTCCTTGTGGATTCAGGTTGCTGCGAAAGCTATACTTGGTCAGCACCTTCTTAGTTGTTTATTGCTTCTGGTATATGGCTTTATCTGTTGAACCATTTTGAAGGGTTTCTTTTTTATCTTGGTTTCATTTTCTTCCCTCTCAGAGGGCTTGCATTTATCTTCCAACTGGTTGGTGAAATTTTAGGAGACAATTTCTTTCAAAAGACTCAGAAATAGGAAAGTAAATTGTGTGCAGGGAGAGGTTGGATTGAAATTTCTATTTAGTTAGACAGATGATGAAAATATTGATTTCCCTCTGTCCTTGCATCTTCTTTACATTAGTTTGAACTGAGTGGATTTTTTCCCCTCTAGTTAATTTTTCACAAGTCGTAACATGTGTTCCACTAGATGAATTCTCTATACATTTTCAGACTCATATTTTGAAGAGACACATCTTCAAAACTGAGCATCCTTGTTTTAATGCAGGTAAAATTTGTTGCTAGACATCTATGACCTACCTTTACATCTATGTCAGGAAAAAATAATGGATGTTTTTCATGCAAGTGATGATGAAGAGGGTAGTGAATAGATGGTTGAAACTGTATTGGTCCCATAGGCATATTATAGTTTGTAGTTCTCCCTTTGCTTGGATGGTACCATATACTCTTGACATTTATGCTCTGAAAAAGGATTTATATTAAAATCTTTTCATGAGATATTATTATATCTGCAGAACTCAAAAGTATATTTTATCAAAAATATAAATAAAAAAAAAATAACAATATGCATAATTTCTCATGTGAAAACCGTCTCAAGTATCAATTACTAACTGGGAGTAGACTGACCGACATTTTATAAGCAGTATGGTGGTCCTAAACAGCTCTTTGTTGTATTACAGAGTATTTCTTCCATAAGGAATTGTAGTCTTTTGTGATGTTTCTTTGTTAATTTTACCCCACTTAAGGCTATTGCGGTTGCTAATTTTTTCTATATTGCATGCAGAGTAACATAAAAGATAACATGGCCAATATGGTAGCTCCCCTGTTGGTTCAGCAGCCAATCACAAGATGGCCTTTTTTTGCCTTCCTGGGCGGAGCCATGTTCTGCCTGCTAGCCAGCAGCACATGCCACCTCCTTGCATGCCACTCGGAAACCCTTTCATACATATTGCTCAGGCTCGACTATGCAGGCATTGCTGCACTCATTGCGACCTCCTTTTATCCTCCTGTCTATTATTCCTTTATGTGCAACCCTTTCTTCTGCTATCTCTACTTGGGGTTCATTACAGTATTAGGGGCCGCCACCATTGGTTTCTCTCTCTTCCCAGTTTTCGAGAAGTCCCATTTCCGGAGCTTCCGTGCTGCTCTCTTTTTTGCTATGGGCATGTCAGGAGTGGCACCCATAATACATAAACTGATATTGTATGGGTCCCAGCCGGAGGCCCTTCAGACCACTGGTTATGAGGTACTAATGGGAGTCTTATATGGAACTGGAGCATTTTTATATGCTATGAGAATCCCGGAGCGATGGAAGCCTGGCAAGTTTGACATTGCTGGACACAGTCATCAGCTCTTTCACATCTTGGTTGTTGCAGGGGCTTACACACACTATCAGGCAGGGCTGATCTATCTCAAGTGGCGGGACATGAACGGTTGTTAGAGAATGAATCTGACTGTAGTGGACAACTTCTTGTAGTTCTTTGACTGTGCTGGTGCAACTTTGGCTTGTGGATGAAGCTTATGAATTTGAATGAACTATGGAGTTATATATAATATGCATCCGAGTTCTTCTTCACTTTCTATTTTATTTTATTTCTCTCTGTATTTGGTTGTTAAAGCTAGAGTTCTTTTGAGGCAACTACATGAACTGTTCTCCCATTTGAGGATTGACTTCTCAATCCATATGACCCTTGTTTGCAATAGCTGTATATGGACGGGTTTTCGCAAGTTGTTACCCTAATTGTTCAAGTTTGGATGCCACACTTTGAGATGCATTTTAAGTTCTACATATAATGACATTTACTGTGTGTGTGTATGTGTAATTTTGTGCATTTTTCGGGCGTTTGAGATTCTGTTGGTGTCTTCTTGCAAAAGTATAGTGCATGTATTGGCAAAGTAACGAAACACATAAAATAACATGTTCCCTGATTTGATTAGGATCCTAGACATAGTTCTTCTGTGACATTCAGGCTCTGGTTTACATCCATTCAGTCTGATCACTTTCCCAGTTTCGCGGCCTTTTGTGTCTGTTGCCACTGTCACAACCAATCCTTTTTCTCACAGAGTACAATTATCATGGCCAATTCATGCTTTCAGTTGAAGCTAACTGTACTCATTTCTGTGACAGAGGTTGCCAAGACAGGGTTGACTCCGTTCTTATTGATGAAAGCACCAGTGAATTATCATTCGGATGGTGAAATTCACAATTCGACACATTCAAATATCTGGACACATTTGCTTGTGCGTCGATTTGCCGGGACAATGAAATTTTTTCTCTGGTTTTAGAAGTTATAAAGAAACATTTGGCACAAAAAAAAAGGGTTTTCGGAGGTTGACATTTACAATTCGACACATTCAAATATGTGAATAAAGTGGATACATTTGCTTATATGAAAAAATTTCTCTGATTTTAGAAAGTTATAAAAATACATTTGGCAAAGAAACCAAGGATTGTTTGACAGATAAAAATAGAACAAGTTTGTGCTTTCATTGAGAGTTGAACTCAAGACCTCCCGCTTACTAAACGGGTGCTCTAACCAACTGAGCTATGGAAGCATTGATGTTAACAAGCTTCTAGAATCATTATAATTTAATAATATAAAGGCTTGGACAACGACAACCCATGTGAATTAGCTGCACAAAATGAAGTAATATTTGTAAAGACCAAAAAGGGCACTCTGGGCAGTTCTTTATAGTTTGCTCGCAATAATAAGTCAACATTGCCAAATAAATCTGAGACATTGGTGTTCTTGGGTACCATGACACCCACATTCCAAAAGTTTGATAGGTTTTTTGGACATCTTATTAGGCCTTCTGGCTTACCAACTCAAGCCCAAACTCTCCTCCGGATAAGTTCCACATATTGGTAAGAAAGTAATGACAATACTCGAATGCATGGGCTCACAAATCACTTCTCACTTCTCACACTTCTCACTACATACTTAAATAAAGAGTTGTGATCGTGAGTCGAAAGTCCATGTCTACATTTGTGTGAGTGGAATGACATATTCATGATATCGTTAAATATAATAACTATCATTCATTTATATAAAAAAAATGTGGTATGTATCTAACTCTCAAACTATTTATTATTTTTGTTCTAGTAATATGCACTTACTTCGTTTTTTAGAAAGACTTAAAATTCTCAGCATCCGTCTTTGTGAAATAGAGAAGATACCGTTAAAATTTATACAGGCCAAGAGTGATTGATTCATCTTTTCTCACGTGGTCACCCTTTGTAAGTGTTTAAACAAAGGCATTATTGAATATTTTCCTTCATTCAATAATGTCTTTGCTTAAACACTTATGAAGTACAATTTTGTGAGTTGCAGTTCTCAAAGTGAAAATCTATTTTGAGATGGAGAGAATAATAAAAATTTTGATCGATTTTTATAACCGTCTGATGTGACAGTCATTAAACCAAACACTAAATAGGAAACAAGCTCTTGTTAAGACACTGGTTATTGGAGTCACAAAAAAAATCGAATGTTATAATATTACTCTTGAATGAATAGACGGTAAGTTGGTCACTTTAGGTATAGAACTAAATAAAAAATAATAAAATAATAAAAAAAGTTCATAGTTGCTAAATGCATTTACTAGATTCCATCTTTCATCCCTAATGAGAATATTGGAGCATCTAATTAACTTTTTTTTTTTTTTTTTTTCTTTCTCTCTTACCTATAAACCTAACTATTTTAGTAATAATCTACCAAAATAAGCATGTGCATTCTATATTTTTAATGGTTCATAAAACAACTTCTTCAAATGAGCAAGGCATATCAGGGCCGCATATAGGGCCCGAAAACCTGGAATGTGCAACCCATTGTTTTTGTACATTTTGGGCTCACAAGAATTTTATATTAATTATAAAGCAACAGGACAAAGATCTAAAGCACGTGGCCAGTGTATATCACACGTGTGACACTTGACAATTCTACGTAATGGATCTATGCGCCACTCTATCATCCTATTAGGCCCACAAGATTTGACTTGTGATCTCATATACTCCAATTCTTTTTTAATAATATAAATCATCAGCTGTATAACTGAAAGCCACTAAACTTGAAGTTATATTCACACGTAACTATTTAAACCCCTCCATCACAAAAAACAAAAAAAAAGAAGGTTAATTACGTTCACACCCCCTAAAATTTACTCTATTGACAGTCAGACGAAAGTTAACCTCTTTTTTAATAATAACACCCCCTCAACTTTGATAAAGTTAACAAAGACCCCCCAATCTTCACCTGTCACATCTGATATATGATGAAATGACCTATATGCCCTTTGACTTGTTAACAACAAGCTTTGAATTATGAAATGACTTAAATGCCCTTATAACCAATTTTAATCCCCTTTAACTATATTATCAAATTCATATCACATCACCCCAAAGTAAATATATATATATATATATATATATATATATATATATATGTGTGTGTGTGTGTGTGTGTGTGTGTGTGTGTGTGTGTATATATTGTGTGTGTGTGTAAGTTCAGCATCAGTGGAGATTCAGTGTGTAAGAGTATCAATGGAGATGTCTCTCTAAGGACTCTCTTTCCATATATATATATATATAGATGTACGTGTGGGTATGTATATATATAACATATATATATATATATATATATATATATATATATACACAATATTGACTATATGAAACCTCAAGCTTCAAATAATGAAGCAAAGCCAGAATTTAATTGCAAAACCCAGAAACAGACGTTAAGAAAAAAATTAAAATAATAAACTGATTTTTTGAAAAACAATCATACATATAAAGTACAAATACAATGTTTACACACGCCAATTAAATTGATTCCCTTGTTGTCAAACATTTCCCAAAATATCAGCATAACGTTGAAGTGAGATTAGAGTTAGAGAAGATTCACCAATGAGATTTGCAGATGATTTCTCACAATCCAAGGGTTAGGGAAAAGGTAACAGAGAATATGGTCTCACACCCAACAAATCCACTCTTACCATACCTAAGTTGCAAGACCCATTCACGAACCCAAACCATAGTCGCACGATTTGAACCCAAGCAACAACACCCATCGCCAACAATCTCGCCGGAATCTACAACAATTGTTACCCGAATCTTCCCAAGCTTTTGTCCCCATCAACCGTCATCGTCCTCGGAGTGTTTTCGCTGCTACATCGTCGCTAGAATCTAATACTTTGTCGTCGGAGTTGTGTTTTACTGTTGTCACCAGCAACCATTGTCGTAGTCATGTCGATTTGGTTGTCACCAGAGCCTCTTGTCGGATCTTTGTTGTTAGAATCTTCATTGGAGCTTTTCCCTAGAAGCAAGAGGTGGAAGAAGACACAGATCTGGATCGTTCTTGGGAAAAACGGGAGAGGTGAGAAAAAAATAAAAAGTAAAAAATAGTATTAATATTGAATTTTCTTATATAGGGCATTTCAGTCAATTGATGTTTTATATATTTTATATTAAAATTTGATTAGATATTCAAGGGTAAAGTAGACATTTCACATATTTTAAGGGTTTGTTTGGATACAAAATTTGACAGGGGGTGTCATTGTTCGAAAAGAGGCTAACTTTCATCTAACTGTAAATAGAGCAAACCTCAGGGGGTGTGATTGTAATTAACCAAAAAAAAAAAAAATACTACTAATAATAATAATAAAATAATAAATAAAAATCTCACAAACAGTAAAGCCGAAAAAGAGAGGGGACACTTCGACTTTTCAAAATTTTATTTATAAATAATTTTTTTTAAATAGTAACTATTAGAGTATTATTTTATATAATACATCGTATGATATATTCATGTTAGACTTGTCAATGGATCAGATTTTGATTCAAATTTGATAATCTTTTACCTTAACAAATCAGTAATAAATTATAGGTAATTCGATCCAATTATATATATAAATATATGAATCTTATATATATTAGTTATCTACTATTAAATTTATATATATTAACTATTACCATTACAGTTATTTGATTGCATAGTTATATTATGTACTATCATGTATATTAATTATTCGCCAATCTATATAACCTTATAACTATACATGTCGGTCAATATGATTTTAATTGTAGTTTGAATTCGATCTGATCCGAATCCAAGCTAAATAGAAGATGGATTCGAACATTCAGTCTGATAATTCGTTAGGGTGTTAGAGTGTTTCTCAAGTTCATCATAATACTTTTGTTCGAGGTGAAGAAATTTTTAATTGAGATGGAGCTATGAAAAGATTCTTATTCGAGGTGGAGCTATGGAGAAACACGTGAAAATTGAATTTTGAGCCAAGGTTAAGATTGTTGGGTTTGTCGCTCATAATTTGTATGCAAAAAATTAGTTCTTTTTTTTTTCGTTTTGGAAGGCTAAAATTTGTGGAGGAAATTTTATCCCACTAAGTTTCTATTTTAGAGTTGAGATTGATATGGTAACTCCTTGTATGCAAGTTGAGGAATACATGTACAACAAGGAATTGGTTTGAAGACTCTATAAATAGATATGGGTATGAGAGGTATAGAGAGAGAGAGAAAAGAGAAAGAAAATATGTAAGGGGTTTAAGGGTGAATGTTGTGAGGAGATGGGACAATATATGTAATTTCGTAGGTGTATACAAGTAGCCTCAAAAGAGATGATAAGTGAGTGAGTGGGGTTTTGACATATGGTTGTATATTTTCTTCCTTAATTTATAATAGTGAAATCTCTCTGTCCTATAGACATAACTCTAGAGTTGGGTGACCCATGTAAAATATTGTGTTGTGCGTGGATACGTGTGATTG